GCCGCCCCATTTTGGCACACCCCTCACGCGCTTCGTGGCCCCATAGGGAACTCCACCTAGGGTCCCAGTGGCGCAGCCCGCATGGCGGCGGCGCCCCTTTTCTGGCACACCCCTCACGCGTTTCGTGGCCCCATACGGAACCCCATCTAGGGTCCCAGTGGCGCAGCCCGCATGGCGGCGCCGCCCCATCTGGCACACCCCTCACACTTGTTGTGGCCCCATAGGGGGGCTCCATCTAAGGCCCCTGCGGCGCTGCCCGCATGGCGGCGCCGCCCTATTTTGGCGCGCCCCTCACACGTTTCGTGGCCCCTCACACGTTTTGGAAACCTTCGGTCCGTCTCGTGGACTCTCGCCTTGGGCCGTCGGCTGTCCAGCGCGCTGCCCCCTCGGCCGACGTCGCCCACGCGTGATCCTAGACTGCGGCCGCCACGAGGTGGGGAACGGCAGGAAGGAGGACGACGACTGGAGGCTGGAACTCTACGCGCTGCTCTCGCGCGCCACGCGCCACGAGGACCTCCTGCTCACGCGGGCGCCGCGCATCGAGTTCTTTCCGGCAGGGCCGCCGGAGGGATTGCGGAAGCAGCTGGAGCAGTTTGCTACGCGCACGAAGCGGCGCAGGAGGGAGGCGACGGCCCTCGCCAGGGAGCTGGGCTTCACCGAGTTTATCCGCGAGGCTTGACTTGAAAAGCGACCCGCCCGAGCCTCGCCGTCTCTCGACGGTCTGACTTCTCGGCTTCGCGCCGCGGGCAACCCGCGCGCGTCGCTGGGGCCCTCTCGGGGCGACCAGCGCGCGTCGCGGGAATTCCGCGCTGCGCTCTGCCCGGAGCCGCGCTCGCCCCCCTCTGCGCGGCGGCCGCAGCTTTGCCCGCTATCAGCCAGCCAGCTCTCTCTGCTCCGCGCGGCGGACGACCCGCGCGCGTCGCGGGGGCCCCGTCGGGGCGACCGGCGCGCGTCGCGGGGGCCCCGCGCGGCGCCGCGCCCGCGGCTTCGGACACAAGCGCGCGCGGGCAAAAAGAGAGAGAGCGAGAGAGCGAGAGAGCAAGAGAGCGAGAGAGAGAGAGAGAGAGAGAGAGAGAGAGAGAGAGAGAGAGAGAGAGAGGAGAAAAAAAAAAGAAAAAATAGAGAGAGAGAGAGAGGAAACAATAAAGAAATAAAGAAAACAAACACACACACACACATGCACAAACAAAAAGAAGGAAGCGGGCGCGATCCTCGGGAGGAGCGCGCCGACATGTGCGTCGACGCTTATGCGCGTGGACTGATGCGCACGCAGACTCATTCACAATCGGGCTCACTCGCGCTCAGTCTCTCGCACGCAGACCTATCGTCTTCGCTCGCGTCGCGTGCCCCGCCACGCATCTCGGCGCGCCCCTCGCACGGCTCGTGGCCCCACAGGGGGCGCGGGCAAAGATGATATTCAGAATTGCGGTATTCACAAGTGCGCATGGTCGGGTCCTTCGCCAGGATAAGTTCTGTGTTTCGGAGTTCCGTCTTAGGGTTCCGGCTCTGTCCCGGCCGCGTGGCCGATAGCTCACGTTCGCGGAGTCAGCACAGTGCAGAGCTGCGCGGGGCGGAGTTTTGAGCAGTTGTGCGCCATGCCAGCTCTGGTATTCCTCTCTCTTCCCTTCTCCTCACCTCGCCTCCCCCCTCTCTTTTATCCTTTCGCTATCTGGTCCATGCCAGCTGGTGGAGGCGTTCGCCCCGCAGGTTTTCCCGGTGAGGCCCTCGAGCGAGTGTGCTGTAGCTCGCGCGCCGTGCCGCATTTTCGGGTGCGTCTGCCTCCCCCCTCCCTTCTCTCCCCTCCTGCGTTCGCTCCCTGGAGGCGGAGCTCAGGCTGGCCCTGCCGGGGCTGGCCTGATCTCTGCCTCCTTTGCCAGCTCCTCCTCTTTCCCCTCAATTGGCCAGCGCCCACCTGGCCACCAAGGCTGACTGCTTCGTGAGTGGCCGGCGGCTCGGGAGGGGCCCAGTAGACGATTTGGCGGTTACCATGGAGACAGAGGTGGCATCCACATTCGCATTGCCATTGTAATGTCGGATATGTCTGCATGCCCCCCGCTACGGGTGCTCGCCTCGCCTATTTTCTAGTTTTTTCCCCACTGTCTCAGATCGTTGTTTTTCGTTGTTTTCCGGGCCTGGTCAGCCCTTTCTGCCTGCCTCCTCTCTTCCCTCCCTGTCAGGGATTGCTACATTATGCGTTCGTGCTGCCGCCAGGCCGCTCGACGTTCGAGGGCGCGTAAGTTTACGTAGTCATTCACGGAGCTCCGTATTGCGCCTCAGGTTGTACCCCACTCAGTGGGTATTGTGTCTTCTTCCTCCTCCCTCCTCTTCCTCCTTTGCTCCTCCTCCTCCCTCCTTTTCTCCTGCCATGGTGAATGCATTGCCTGGCCGTCGAGGCCGTTCAATGCGGGTCTGTCCAACAGCATTTTGGCAGGCCAGGGGATGATGAGTTTAGGGTTAATTCGTATCCTTCGCCTTTGGGTTCCTCTCTTCTCCTCCTCCTCCTGGACCGTTCGCCCGGGCAATATTCGTCACAGGTAGCTCTTTTTGTTTGCGTCTGTCTTGGGGGGGCAGGATTTGTCCGCTCGAGCGGGCGCCTATTGTAATCGTGGCGAGGCCCGAAGCCGTCCTTCCCGACTGGCGTTGCGGCCACGTTCGTAGGACAGCCTGGCGACAAACAGGATATTTACCAGCACACTTGGTGAGGCGAGTTGTGTATATTATCGCGGTCCGCTCCCATCTCTTGCTCCTCCAAAAACAATGTGTCGGGCTCGGGGGGGGCGTCTTGAAGCGAGTTTGGGCATCTGAGGAGCAGAGCGCGGGGAAGCACAACTTGTAAATACTTGGGTGCTTCAATGTGCTGGTATATCGAGACCCTCTTGGGGCCCTCCTGGGCCCTCCTGAGCCATCGTCAAAGCATGTTGCGGGCATCGTAGGTCGTTTGGGGCTCTTGACGCCCTACTCGCGGCCTCTAGGGGTCGTCCTGGAGGCCTCTTGGTCCCTCATGGCCGTCTGGTGGCGTCCCCGTGCAGGAAGCCTGGAGCAACCTGGAGCGGCGAGCAGGCTGAGGGACGCCCCTGTCCCGCTTGCCCTTAATGTTTGTCCGCGCGGGTCCCTACTCCCACTAGGCAGCACAGTGGAGGCAGAGCTGGCGAGACAAGACATACAAAAAGACCGCACACACAGCATGAGACAGCAGTCCAGCAGGATCCCTTACAGCCTTGCGCCCCCAAGGGGCTGGCGGATCTTTCCCGTCATTTGTATCATGTCTTTTCTGTTGCGCTCGCCCATCGCCGTGCTGTAAGGAGAAGAAGAGGATAGACGACAGGAAGAAGTTGATCGGCGTCCTCGGCGTTTCTCCCAACGGGCGAGCTTGGGTTTCCGCGAATCAGTCAACAATCATCACGCAAGATTGAGGCTGTGCGAGTTCCTTGATCAAGCCCACGAGTACTCGCCGCAGAGCCCTTCTGTAACATCTTACTGTTCGTGTGCTGCGTCCAATCTTCCCCAACCATCCTGTGGTGTTGGGTCCTCGTTGTGAAGGGGCGGCGCCCCGCGTTCCGTCCTTCTTTCTTCCTCCCTCTTCCTCCCCCTCCTCCCACCTCTGCCTCTGCTGTCCGCATGCCAACCAGTTCGGCACACCCTTCAGAAAAAAGGGGAGGGGGGGGGGCTTCCAGCAGGGGAGGCCCAAGGAGGTGGGGGATAGCTAAGCCCCCGCCCCTTTTGGAGAGGGAGGGGTAGCTTCCGGAGCGCGAAGGGACGGGGGGGGGGGAGCTTCCGAGGGGCGGAAACAGGCGGGGGGGGCTTCGGGCAGGAGAGGTCCAAGGGGGGTAGCTAAGGGGGGACCCCCCCCTTTTTGGGAGTGTTCCACGGGCGCGCTCTCTCTCTCTCTCTCATGTTTTATAGTTGCAGTGTGGCTATGTAACATGGCGTCCTTCTCAGGCGATGTCCTGCCTATCTTACACCCCCCCCCCCGAGACGCAGGATGCCGCCTGACCCTCTCAGGGCCGACGCGAGTGCACACTTCGAGTTTTCGAGCTCACACTTTTTATTGGCTCAGGCTTTGAGCGCCCAGCGGGATGCACCGGGTGTCGGGGCTTGGTTTACGGGGCCATTCGGCAGAAGTCGGAAGCCGTTTTTTTTGGTTGTCAGTTGGCTTGCGACAGCTACCCTCGACCGTACCTCCGCGTGCTGCAGTGGGTACCTTCGAGTCAACGCTGGCACGATCATAGGTCTGTTCGGGCACACCTATTATTTGTTTCAGCTCGTGTTCTGCGCGCCGAGCGACTTTCACTCAGCCTTGGGGCTGGGTCGAGGTGATCACAAGGCAGAGGTGGGAAGCTATCACTCTGGCTGTCAACTGGTCTGCGACATCCGCCTTCAGCCTTACCTTCGTATGCTCCCCAGTACTGGCTTACAGAGCACACTTTCCCATCGTCAAACCATGTGCATCAGCACTGGTGTTATCAAGCAAGTCAAAGAAGAGGGGAGGTTATGATTGCGCATTGTTGCTGCATTTGATGTCTGCACGTTGAGTTCGTATGGGAGTGTAGTATCTCCAGGCATGTTCTTTTCGCGAGCCCTAACCCAACGCATCCAGCATCTAGTGCCGCGTCCCTTGGAAACCTCCTGGGACCTCTCTGGGGGCTCTTCCAGAAATCCTTGGCAAACGGACCCTCTGACACCTCTGAGCCCTCCCCCGTCTTTGCCAGAGGACGCATAGGGGGAGGAGGCAATTTCCCAACAGGAACGCCGCAGTCTGTCTCTCTCGCTCTCACCCGCCCCACCGGCTCATAGTAGCACCCGATACTCAGCATAGGTATCGGTCGCCATCCGATGGACAGCCAGTGTACCAGGTGCACCAGGTGTGGCGGCAGATGCGCCACGTGCGCCTCGAGCACGGAGTGTGCCACGTGTTCTAGGCGCGCCCCGTGCGCGACGCGAGCAGACTGCGCTAGGTGTGCCAACCAGACTTGACAACAGCCGGTGCAACGGAACGGCGGGCTGGTTAGCATCGCGCACTGTGCGTGCACCCGCGATTCTCTTGCAAGGGTCAGCAAGGAGCGGACAATTTGCCCCCCACATTGTCGTTGTCAGAAGTCACCGCGGAGTCATTGTGGGGTACCCGAACATTGAAAGGTGTTTCTCGCAATGCGCACTGCCTATTGTTTGACAGTGGTACCGTTCGGGCCTATCAATGTCCATGATTTGTGGCCATTCGAGAAGGGATGGGATGCTCATCGACAGGCAACAGTGATGAACCCCTCCCCGAAGAGCAAGAAGAGCGGATGAAAAAGGCGACCCCTTGAACCAGCTCCACCCCGAGGGCCGGTGAGTTGAAGCGCGTGGACTGCGTAGTGTTCTGTCGTCCTTGCGTTTTCCCTCCATCGGTCCTCCCCTCCTCCTCCCCTCCCTCCCCCCCTACCCTACACTCCATTCCTCCCTCCTTCCTTCCTACCCTTCCTCCCTCAGCCACACCGCACGCCTCACGCCTGCCCCTGCGCCGCGCCCTGAGCCCCTGGATCCGAAGGATCCTCTGCCTCGCGCTCACGTCGCTGCTGAAGCAGCTGAGCTCCCGGCTGTGCAGCTCGCTGCACGCCCCGCTGCGCGCGAGGATCGTGTTGCTGCTGGAGCAGATATGCGCGGGGGCTGCCGCCAGGGCCCCGGCGGGTCTCGATTCTAGCTCGACTCGAGTTCGACTCAAGTTCGGTTCAAGGCGACGGACGTTCGACGCAGCATCGACGCGTGAGTGGAGCGAGTGATTCCAGAAGGTCCCCAGAGCGAACACCTAACGTAATCATTGCCGTTCCCGTTGCCCCTCTTCTTTTTCGCCTTTGTCTTCTCGTCATGACGCCAATTGTAAACGTCCTGATCCTCGCGTTCCTTGCCTCTTCCTCCTCCCCGTCTCATCGTCCATCCTCACTCCTGCTTCTTGATACTTCTGTTGCTGCCTCATTCTGCCTCTGCCTGTCTGCCTTCTCCTCCGACTCCCTCTTTCTCCCGGCTCCCCGCTCCCGCATCCTCCTCCGCCTCATCCCGAAGGTGATTGAGCAGCGTTGCCCCGATAACCAAGCCTCCGTGTTCACGTTGATGCTTCAGCAGTTGCAAGTCCACTTGCATGAGCAACCCCAATGTTGGCACGACATTATTTACACGATGTGCGATTTGACTCGCACCCGCCGACTGCCCCTGCCTGACTCTGCATCGACGCATCACTTGCAGTAGTTAGGGGCAGCTGTCTTTTGGTCGGACCCCCACCCTCTCATTCCAGGCTATACGCCGTACGGCGCGTGGTCTTCCAACAGTCTCGAGAACGGGTAAAAGGTTGCGCGGGATATCGTAAACAGAGCAAGAGGACGAGGAGGAGGATGAGGAGGAGGTTTTCTTGTTCTCCACCAGGCAGAAGTCTGGCCATTGTGGCGAGCTTGAAACGGACCCAAACTAGCGGGGAGAAATTGAGGAGGAGGAGGAGGAGGACCAGTGCATACCCAAGGCTCATCAACGATGTTGGAATACACATTGCCTCCAAGCTCCCTCTTCATGGCCACCCTTGTGATTCATTTCCACTGAGGGAGGTGCCCCGTTGGGGGACATACGTGTGAAAACCCTGAAGCGCGCCGAAACAATATTCTCAGGATTTCAACGTCACGAGTCGAAAAGGCAGTTGCGCCTTGACGACCCTGAATCGTGCTAGAACACCATTCCTGGGATCTCAACACCGCGAATACACGTGACTGTTGCGCCCTGTCAATCCTGCCTGACTCGCTCAAGAACATGCGTTCTGGTTTGTTAACCACGAGAACCAATGGAACCCTTGCAAATGTGTTAAACGAATATGCGCGGCGCTGAGGCGAGATCCACAGTTTGAAAAGGAACCGCCCTCAATCGGTGAAGCTTGCGCAATGTGTTGAAACGGATGTGCGCGGCGCTAAGGCGGGAGCCAGATTTTGAAAACGACCCGCCCTCAATCGGTGAAACTTTTTGCAACTGGTTTCAGCAAATGTGCGCAGTGCCCAGGCGAGAGCCACATGTTGGAAACCACCCGCTGTTGATCCGTGAACCCCTTGCAAAGTTTAAAACGATCATGTGCGGCGCGAAGGCGAGAGCCACATGTGGACAACGTCCCGCCTTCAACCCGTGAAATTCTTGCAATTGGTTTAGGGCGAGAGCCACATTCTGGAAGCGTCTTGCCCTCAAGCAAAGGAGCTGTTTCCAGTTGTTCAACTTCAGGCTCATGGGTGGCATTAAAGTCCCAGGCGAAACGCCCTACCCGCCCCTACGACTGGCCCCGGGGTGCGACAGGGAGGAGTCATGCACAAGGAAACACAGTGGACGTGAGCATGAGGAGGAGTAGGATGAGGACCAGTGTAAACCCAAGGCCCATCAACGATGTTGGACTACACCCTGCCTCCAAGCTCCCTCTTCATGGCTCCCCACGAGGGTTCCTTCCACTGAGGGAAGTGCCCCGTTGGGGGGCAACCGTGTGAAACAAAGCCTGAAGCACGCCGATTGGTTAGCTCGTTAAACATGAGAAACAATAAAGCGTTCGCAATTGTTTAAACCGTATGTGCACGGCGCTGATCCGAGATCCAAAGTTTGAAAAGGAACCGCCCTCAATCAGCGAAGCTTTTGCAAATTTAAAAACGAATGAATGCGCGCGGCGCTAAGGCGAAAGCCACACGTTGCACACGATCCACCTTCAACCCTTGAAATCCTGACAAATGTTGAAACCGAATGTGTGCGGCGCTAAGGCGAGAGGCACATGTTGAGATCGGCCCGCCCTCCATATGCGAAGCTGCTGCCAGTGCTTAAGCTTCAGGCTCATAAATGGTAGAGAAGTTCCAGGCGAAACGCCCGATGGGCCCTTCCGACTTGCCCCGGGGTGCGACAGGGAGGAGTTATTCATACGGAAAGTTATGAAGGAGGTCCAGGTGGAGGTGGAGGAGGAGGCTTATTAGGGAGCCCAACGGATCTTCGGACCAATACTTCGGCAGGATTTGCGACGAGAGAACAGGGACACATTCAACGCAAAAGTAGCACGTTGAAGCCGATGGATGAGGAGGAGGGGGAGGAGAAGGAGGAGGGAGACGGGGGCAACAACGAAAGCTGCTTGAATTCATAGGTCCGAGCTTGCCAGGGCCCGCAAGCACCCGACATTGCCGACGTGGTGCGCGACGAATTCCCGCCTTTGATATTCGTCATGTACGCAATGCTTCGCCCGACGCAAAAGAACTGTAAGTTTTCTGAAGCACGCACGTGGCCCAGTCGGTGCGTGGCCGCCCCTAGAGGAGCTGCGCAACGGCGGGCACGAATGTTCCCGAATGCAGGGGCTTGTTCCCTCAGCGTGTGCCGATAGCTGGTCCTCCCTGGCCTTCAAATCGAATGGAGTCTTGAACGTCGGCCCGAACATAATGGTCCAACCCGTGTGAGACAGTGCAGCAGCACGACACACAAAGGAGGAGGGGGGGGAGGGGGGGGAGCGGCGCAGGGAGCGAGGAAGGGAGGAGTGGAGGGGGCAGGGGGAGGGAGGACACGAATGGAAGGGGCGGAAGGGAGGGGAGGAAGGAAGGAACAGGACAGAGGAGCGGAAGAAGGAGAAGGAAGCAGGAGAAGGGGAGGGTGCAGGGATGGGGGAGATGTGGGGAAGGAGGGGGCTGCTGGGGGTGGGGGAGGAGAGGATGGTCAAGCAACGCGCCACTGAAGGAAAAGGCCCGATGCTCTTTATGACGAGGCGGTGCCGCTTGTGGACTTGAGGGCCCCTGCTTGCAACCACGAGAGGTGGAGAGTGCCCTGTTTGTTGAAGCAGACGCTTGGAGGCACCCCGCGGCGGTAGGGGTGGGTGGATTAGCGATGGACCACAAGGCCATCGCCAACAATCAGAAGCTTCGCTCGCAGGCAGCGCCGCCCCTGAGCCTGGCAGCGCGCGTGACGTTCACTGCTTACGGTGGGTTCGCGTCGTTTCGACCAGCGGCAACCCCGCCGCCGGTGTTCGACGTTGAACGCCGCCAGCGACTCAGAATCGGTCGATGTTGATCGATCTGACGTTTCGGAAACGCCCGCTCGTTCTATGTTGAGCGATCCCCGCGGTGCCAGAAGCCAACGCTGGGGTCGACACGACACGAACCTGCCGTACTCGCGTGGGACTCGTCTGCCCCTGTCTGCATCCGTGTGCTGGGACGCAGGGATCTCTCGACCGCTTTCGGGCCTTCACGGGCGCGATGGGGATTCGAGTCCATGTTATTATTTTCAGTGGGCCCTTCCAGGGCTGCCCGCGGTCTGAGTCGATCCGATCCGATCCCCGTACCTTGTTTTTGAATGAGATCCGATCCGATTCGACGCGAATCGAGTCCGTCCCCGGCTTTCGGGGGGCGATCCCGATTCGCGGTCCAATTCGATCTGATTGCGTGACGATTTAGGCTTGATCCGACCCGGTGCCGATCCGATGATCCGGTGCTGCCATTCGACCCTTCTCAGGCCTGCTTTCCCAAATTTTGCATCCGCGGCCGTTTTGCACTCGCCCCCGGCAGGAGTGGACGAAGGTCGAGGATTTGGACGCCGAGGCGGACGCTGGCTTCCCTGAACCGCCACCCGTCGTGGAGCAGGTCGCCGAGGCCGCGGCACCGGCAGCCGAGGCAGCCGCGCGCGCCAGTGCAGTCTGCGCGCGCACGGTCTCGTTTCGCCTGGTGGCCTTCGGGTCTCGAGGAGCCGCAGCCAGAAGCACAGCACAAACGTGAGCGCCCGGGGCTCTGCGCGGATCTCTTGGGTCGGCGTTGGGGCGCCCCTGGCGGCGCCTCTGGCGCCGCCCCCAGGACGCTTCGCGGCGCGCGAAAGGGTAGGGGGGGGTCCAGCGACAGCAGTTTCTGGTTGCACCGTTGTGTTGTTCTTCTGTCGGTGGCCGTCGAAGTGGCCGAGGTGGTCTCACCACGGCCCCACTGGCGAGGGGCAATAGGCGCCGCGCAGCGCGCGTTGGCCAGCGGGCTCTCGGGCCGCGCGGCTGGAGACGCGAAAAGGAAAGCGAGATTGCAGGAGACGAGGACTACGAGTTGATGCATTTGGAGCCGTCTGGGCGCATATCGGAGGGGGCGAAAAGGAGACGGAGAGCGAGGGTGTAACGGGATTGGGAAAGGGGATGATGTCACTTCTGCTGCGAATTGTTGATTGCTGTTTCTTGTCGGTGTGCGCTGCTGCTTCCAGCCTCATGGGGCGTGCAGTGCGCGGTCCTGGACTCGCATGCATTGTTCTGGGACCTTGTTGGGCCGTCTGGGGTCTCTCTTAGGACCCCCTTGGACTGCAGGAGGGGCCGCCTAGGGGCCTGTTGGGTGCATCTGTGGCCGTCTTCCGCTGTCTCGGGGCGTCTTGGGCTCTTTGGACGCTTTCTTGGCGCCGTGTTGTGTTGGAGTCGGGCTATCTCGTGTCCTCTTCGACTCCTCTGGATGCCGTATCTGGCACTTTGGAGGGTTTTTGGAGTTTTCTTTGCCCGTTGTGCGGGATTCGCGGCACCATGTTCTCAGCAGCGTCGCAATCTTCCGGAGTCATTTGAAAGTCTCATTGAGGCGAGAAGCTTAGACATACACACACAAACAAAAAGGTAATGAATATGGACGATACTGAATGTCCGGGGCCTGATTTGGAGAATCATGAAGTTTTTCTCCGAGCTTGTTGTGAGGGCCATTTCGGGACCCCTGGTAATTATTGGAGGACTCGTATGAGAGTGTCGAGCTCTCCAAGACCTTCAACACCTTGCTGGACCACAAAGATTGTTGAAAATTCTGGGAAGCAGTGGGAGTGAGTGGAATCCGGCCACCACCACCACTACCCCCTTTGAATCCGTAGTCTGTGGCCTGGCGGGGGGAATCCAGAATTGCAGTGGGGGAGGAATCCCACACGCCCAGAGACCCCAGAGAGCCCAGCGGATGCACCATATCGCAGGCTGCCTTCTTGAACCCGGCTGCTGCAACCCAGGCTGGTGCCGCCGAAGCGGCGGCCCCTGCGGCAGACGCGCAGGCCCCTGCGGCGGAGGCTGCGGCCGCGGCTCCAGACGGCGCGGCCGCGAGCAGCCCTCCGGACGCGGCCCCGGACGCCGCCCCGGCCGCGGACGCCGCGGCCGCGACGGCGGACGCCTCGGCCGCGGGCGCCGCGGGCGCCGCCGCCCCGGACGCCGCCCCGGCCGCCGACGCCACCGCCGCGACGACGGACGGCTCGGCCGCGGGCGGCGCAGAGGCGCCGGCGGCCGCGCCCGCGGCCGCCGCGGAGGCGCCGGCGGGCGGCGCGGAGGCGGCACCCGCGGCCGAGGCGCCCGCCGCGGCGCTGAGCTTGGGCAGCGACCCGGTGGTGACCTTCGAGCTGTACAGGAGTTCAGAGGAGGGAAAGGTACCCATACCTTTCCCCTCGGCTCGTTTTCGTCTTTCCGCGCCTCCTGGGAGGCCCTCGTCGCCACCGCTGGACTCGCTTCGGAATTTTTGTCAGAACGCATACGGGGAGAGGTCTGGGGAGCAACGGTATCGGCACCTCTTCACTTCCCCAGGAGTTTCTGGAGCCTGCAGGAGGCGGCCCAGCCGGGGGCGGCGAGGGGCTCTCGATGCTCACGATCACTTTCAGAGCTCCGAATCATCAGGGCCAGGGGCGGTCAGGGATAGCTGCGGATTCGCGCCTCTGGGGCCCAAACCGGAGCTACCCTGGATAATTCCGGCGTCCAACCCTCCCGAATCATCAGGGTTGGGGGTAGTCGGGGGGAATTGCAGATTCGCGCCTCGGGTGCCCAAAGTGAAGTTACCCCGGACCGCAGTTATCCTGGATAAGTCGGGCGTCCAACACCCCCCGCATCCAGGGGCGCAGGTGCGCCCATCTCGTCGGTCATCGGTTGCCGCATCGGCTGCTCTTTTGCCCGTCTCTGTCCTGTCCTGCCCGTCCAGCCCTGTATCACTCCAGCCTTCCAGTTTTTCTGCTTCCTAGCCTTGCACCTGTCCTGGTTTCACCTTTCCAGCCTTTGTCTTTCCAGCCTTCCAGAAGGAGGTAGAGCGGAGGGAGCAAACGGAGCAGGAGGAACTGAAAGAGCGGGGGCAGGAGTTGCAGGAAGAGGAGGAGGAGGATCAGCAAAAGCAGGAACCAGATAGCGGGGCCAGCAGCAGGAACAGCATCAGGAGGGAAGAGCGGCAGGAGGAACAGCGGGGGGATGAGCAGCAGCAGCAGCAGCAGGAGCAGCGGCATTGGCAGAGGCAGTTGCAGGCAAAGGGGTAGGAGGAGAATGGAGGGAGGCGGGAAGGTTGAGGAAAGAGCAGGGAGGAAAGGGCATGAAGAAGGCAGAGGAGTGAAGCAGAGGGATGAGGAAGAGCAGGAGGAGGAGGAGGAGCAGGAGGAGGAGGAGGAGGAGAAGGAGGAGGCGGAGGAGGAGGAGGAGAGGGGGATGGATGGATGGAGTCCTCCCAGCGAGGCCGCACTGTGGGGGCGCGGGCACGACTCCCTTAGCAGAGGGCAGCAGGGCCGAAGGACGGCGACTGCTGCGACCCCGTTGGCGCCGCGCTTCCCCTAGGCCCACGGAGGAGGCGCCGCTACCTGGCCCTGGAAGCGAATGCGATGGAGAGGAGTGGAAGGCCCGGGGAAGGGGGCCTAACGGCGACTCCCTCCCACAGGGACCCCCGCCCGTACTCCCAGCCGCTTCGTGTCAGCGGATGACGCAGCTGCGATACTGAGAGAACGGAGGGGGAGGTCCAGGAGGACCCCGCAGCAGATGTAGTTTCGGCGACGAGCCCCAAAACGCGCCCCACCGATGTGAGCGAGGCGGACAAGGCGAAGGCGCAATCGGGCGAGTGGTCGCTGGCCCCGGAGCTCTGCCCATCTCAGGCCTGACGACAGGGCTCGGCGTAGATCTTGCCAGACCCACACACACACACACACCCAAGGACATGCAAGGCAGCGGTCGCGTGTGCTGGGCAAGCTCCTGGTTGAGGAGCCGGCAGCACCGTTCCTCTACTTGATCCCTGACTCTGGCCTCGTACGCTTCTTGGCTGGATCCGGGGAAAGCGCCTTCCCTGGCTGGCCAATCCGGCAGGTCCCAAGACTCGAGCAGCTGCAGGGAAGCGCGCGACCAAGTCCTTCCAGGCACCAGATGGGCACGGATGAAAGCACTTTTGTTTAAATCCGTGTCCGGAAGCCTCCAAAGGCCCGCACGCCGGGAGGCAACGTCGAGCATTGCACGACCGGAGCCTGAAAAGGGTCCATCCTAGTTCCGCCACCGCTGGAATGGCAGGCTTCCAGGGGGCAGTCGAGAAAAGCCCTCGCCCATGACAAGTGGGTTTCGTCCAGGTCGAGAGCTGTCCCGTCCGCTATGGCAAGCAGCCGCCTGCCGAAGCGGAGGAAGGAGCCGATTTTCGTCTCGAAAATCCTCGCCGTCACGGCCAAGGAGAGGAAACCACTGGACACCTGGCCTGCTAAAGTAGCACAGTGGGCAGATGCTGCGCCCAAGCGGGAAGCTAATAGACGCTCCAAACGCAGGTTGCTCTGCACTCGTAGCCTTATCCGCTTGCGGGACTCTGGCATATGTAACCGGACGGGCTGAATCCCCCGCAAATGGAGGACTACGGGCGGTGCAGTTCCGCCCGCTGCTCTTGCCAGCGCTCCGCCGTGGACCACGATAGCATGTTTGGTGGCTTTGGTGTGCGGCGAGGTCTTCTGGCGAAAGGCCCAATCCGCAAGCACAGCCTGCGACCTTTGTGCGGCCCCTCGGGTTGGAGCGAGTAACACGGGGTCGTCTGCGTGGAGAATAGCCGCGAGGCGCCGATGGGGTGAGGCGCCCACGGCCGCGAGGGCGGCAGCGAGGCCCCTTGCGGCGGGGAGTGGCAAGTTCTCCTGCAGAGGACGTAGCAACTCAGACGTACGCTCCGCATTTGGCTCCCCGGTGCCGCGTCATTGGTGCTGTGCCCAAGCGCGTGGACAGCGGACGGCAACGCCAATGCCGAAGCCACCCCTCTCGGAGAATAGAGTTTCGGGCAGGGTGTCCATGTGTGCGGGGAGCGTCAGGGGTCCGATTCCCCTCCCTTCTGCGATCGTTTTGGTGAGGATAACTGTTTGGACACCGCAGTAGTTCGCGAGGGATGGGGGGGGGAGGTCGGGAGGAAAATGCGGGCAGGAGGAGAAGCAGCAACTTTAGGCTAAGGAGGCATGGGGCGTCAAGGCAGCTGGGAAAATATGAAAAAAAAGAGTTGAGGAAACCGTAGGAGCAGTAGTAGCAGCAATCGGAGGTGAGGGGGTGAGATCGAAGTGGAACGGAGAGCCCCCCTACCGGGAAATCGATTTCGGTTTCGTGTTCGTGCGTGCCGTGCGGGCGAGGCGAAGCTGCGTGGGCGAGAGAAAGTCTCCTGTGGCTGAGGCGTGGCCGGACCAAATGACTCCCTTCTGGGCGGCCGGTGGCCCGCGATATCCCGCTGGTGTCCCGTTGGTGTCCCGTGTGGCTGAGGCGCGGCCAGACCAAATGATTCCCTTCCGGGCGGCCAGTGGCCCGCGGTGTCCCGCCGGTGTCCCGCCGGTGTCCCGTCGGTGTCCCGTCGGTGTCCCGTCGGTGTCCCGATGATGGTGATGATGATGATGGTGATGATGAAGGTGATGATGGTGATGATGATGATGTTGATGTTGGTGATGATGATGATGATGATGATGATGATGATGATGATGATGTTGATGTTGTTGATGATGATGATTATGATGATGATGAGATGATGATGATGATGGTGTTCCGATCATGATGATGATGATGATGATGATGATGATGATGTGGATGATGATGTCGATGAGGAGGATGATGATGATGGTGTCCCAATGATGAGGACGATGATGACCATGATGATTATGTTGATGATGATGATGACGATGATGGTGTCCCGATGATGATGATGATGATGATGATGATGATGATGATGATGATGATGATGATGATTATGATGATGTTGATGTTGATTGTGTCCAGATGACGATGGTGATGATGATGATGATGATGATGTTGATGATGAT